AGACAGACGTGGACAGAACGCCTTTCGATTCTCCTGCACGTAAATCAAAACAAGACCGATAATATATGTCATAACAAGTTACAATCAGTACAAAGGACAAAGTGTGTGGAATATTCCGTGTAAAATAGCGACTTCGGTTAGTGCATGCTTCCGAAAGTAAAAGAGAGAGATCGAAGCGAAGGGTCATTGGCTATTTATAGCCAGGAAAGAGAGACACAACCCAATACCCCCACCAGATTAAAGGTTGGGGTGAAATGAAAACAATATATAAAGAAAAAAAGGTTCATTAAAGTCTGAATATTGACAAAAAGAAATGAATAATTCCGAAATGTAGTGTTGTCTCTAAATCTTCCAGTAACTGGTTAAAAATTCGATGATATTGTTTTTTTTTTTTTATATATATATAATTTTTGTTTTAACGATTATCGTTCTGGCAAAATTGACATCAAACAATTGCTTTTACGGACATTTGAATTATTTTACAGAGAGCAGCATCTTTGAGAAGAATGAGAAGCTTATCGCCACTTTCAGTAATATTTGTTTAAAATACAGTGATTTCTTTGAGTCATAACAGATTATTTTTTTTTAGAATACCAGAATCATTTCAGGATGAAATTAGGACATCATACCAGTGGGTAAAGAGTTCTAAAGGTTAAATCTTTAATAGTAATTGTTGTTCAAATTTTTTTCTTTTTTTTTATCTGGCCTCTTTTTGGAAGGTGTTTTCTTGTGTGTTTTTTAGCAGGAGGAAAATCACGTGTAATTCCATGATGTCCAGAGGAGGGACGTGGACTGTCTTTCTCCTGTTTCTTTCTAGACTGACAGTCCAAAGAAGAAGGAAAAGAAAGCAAACAAAACAAGACCGATAATATAGAATGTCCAAATTAAACCAATGGTATTTAACCAGCTTAGCGTATCGTTTGTTACTTTTGAGGTTGATATTTGCTTAGTTCTGAGAGAGAGACCTCTGGTGAAAAGGAAAACTGGTAACTCATTTTAAAAAATTTTTAAAAAAAAAATCTAAGCAAGAGTTAATCCACCACGAGACAATGGCCCAGTGGAATAAACCTTTGGTTTGTGAATCTGGCGAAGTATTGATTGTGAGTTCGATCACTACATCGATCAGTGTGCATTTGGAATCACTGGAAACGGATGAGTAGTACTCAAAATAATAAGACGATATTTATAGGCATGGCAGTGGAATGATAACAGTCTACTCTCGTAGAGTAAATAGAGTTCCCTATAGGTTGTCCAGATTAATACATATCTATGAATATTATTTGATCTACACCATCTTTTAACATGACTGTTAAAACCAATCCTTTATCCTTGGTTTATTGGATAGGAACCTCCACAAATCTTCCACGTTGAATGAACACAAATAAAATACTCAACAAAAACAAGAGTACAACAGAATGTTCAACATGTCCAGTATAATAAGAAATATAATAGCAAAATCCTAAACAAAAAATAGTGAGGCATGAAGTCTAATATAACTGTAAAAATAAGAATTGTTACCCGCTTGATAGAGAATGCGTGAAAGAAAACATTGTATACAAGGTAACTGATAATATTGATAATATCGAGACGGATAATTCAAACTAAGATTTTAAAATGGCACTAAACACAGTTAAATATAAAAATAGTATTTTATTTCTTGATCTCTTCCATCAAGTAAGAAATTAAGAAGCAAATCACCAGATTTAATGTTGGAAATAGATTTTGGAAACTATGCCTGGGGTAACATTTGGACAAAGCTATTTACTCGAAAGAAAGCGAGTTACTGAGCATACGAAACATTAGCTTCATGCATACATGCCAGTAAATATCCCCTTGCACACCAAGCCTCGGATTAATAGGACGATCTGTATTATTATACAAATTAATTTGTTATATATATTTTTCTCGTATCGATGGGATTTTCCTTCTAATTCTTCTAAGAGAGCGTGGAAAGTCAACATCATCATTATATCATTATTTTCTCTTCGAGTTACATGTGTTATTACCCATTTTATTTATTGTTGCTGTTGGATGTCTTCAATTGATGTGGGTTTTCTTATTCGAGTAAACTCTACAATAACTGATGAAAAATCGTTTTTCTTTTAGACTTAGGGATTTCACGCGCTTGAAACTATTTTCAGTCATTGACTGGGACTGAGAATAGATAGATAGATAGATAGATAGATAGATAGATAGATAGATAGATAGATACCAAATTTGTTTACATCTACAAACGTAGTGTCGCATAATTTTGTCGAATATTCTCCTAGCTTGCTAGATAGATAGATATGAACAGATTCAGATAGATAGATAGATAGATAGATAGATAGATAGATCTGAATGTTTTTTATGAAACAATCGCTGTTTCATAGTGGTCACTGCTTCCGCCCCATCCCCCAAAAGAACTTCCCTAGAATAATTTGGACAGCTTGATCGAACGACTGTCATCGTCAATATTTAAGAAATAAGTATAGTACATTTACTCGTTAAAAGAAAAAGTGATACTTAATTTCCTCCCGCTAAGATGACGTCTCAAAAATATTATCGCTTATTTAGAAATATATAATCACTATTTTGTATGGTTTAACGTTCAATTTTGTTTAGTTAACCTGCTTTTATTAATTTTTTTATATATATAAAACAAGGTCTCTTAGAAAATGAATATATTCCTTAACATCTCTGAAAGTCAGCTTCAATAGGATAAGTTTCAAATGAACCAGTAGAAAGTCATGCAATGGCAGAGCTCCGGTTTTACCGACAAATGCCGAGCATACGGTGGATAGAACATGGACGTCTTAAGGAAAATAGGAACCACGAGAACTTAACACACATATGGGATACTAAAGGCAGAGAAGCAGTGAGAGAGAACAATTAATCCTCTCAACGGGTTGCGGTGAACAGATGACAGCAGAAAAAACAGGGATGGGAAACATGAATTATTTACATTATTCGCACTGTTATCCTCATCTTCATTACCATTACCGCTTCGACCGTTGTACCAAAAACTTGGGGAGTTAAGTTAAAGAGCATTACCTGACATATGTGGAAGAGGTATGGCACGTGGAACTAGAACAATCTACCCCGGCGGGCGAAATAAACGGTTCGGTTCGGAATTCCAAAGACCTGATGAAGGCTGGAGAGTAGAACGGCTGAAACGTTGTGAATATGACAATGAAGATGAGGATAACAGACGATTAACGTTACACCTACTCCACGATAGGTCTATTAGGACTCATTTAAACACACATGGGAACCTACCAAACTTCATCCGCAACATACTAGTTGAAAATACTAATATAACATACTCATCCACATGTAAAAACATTTAAATTAATGGAAGCCCTAATAATAAGAAAGGAAAAGCCAACACCCAATAACATTGACTATGAACACGGCCACAATGTGGTGACCGTGTTTGAAAAATAAAACATTCCTATAACTTCAGACACATACATAAAAAGCTCACACATTCAATTAAAAATAAAAATAAAAATAAAAATCACTTCTGCTAATGGCTAAAAAGATAGCCGAAGGCGCTCAGATAAGTAAAATATTTGAACAGTTTTTATGCAATTTGTGTCCAGAAAAGAAAACACCTGTACGAAGACAAAAAAATAAATAAAATGCTTAATCGCAATACCTAATCAATCGTCTTTAATATATATATATATATATATATATATATATATATATATATATATATATATATATATAGTCTTAAGGTGTGCTATATTTATGGGATAAAGTGCTCAATATCAGAGATAGAGCGTGTGTAAATATATATATAGATAGATAGATAGATAGATAGATAGATAGATAGATATTTATATATGTGAATGATATATTAATATCTATAGTAAAAGAAATCTGAAAAAACCGTGTGAACAGGGTTGAAAATATGAGAAAGAGGCATAAAATCGAATGTACAACTCCAAATTAATCTTCACCACAAAGTCGCTACGTAACATGCCTTTTTCAATATTAACCTGCACCAAAAATAAAATATCATCTTAATTTTCGAATTCCACGACTATACTAATGTAATAATTTATATATATTTTAATGATTATTATGAAACATATCAGATTTCAAATCAAACGCAGATAATCTAACGATAATAGGTCTGTCCTCATTCACATAAATACAATAGTAAATACTGTATGTTGGTCTGCAGTTGGAGACTCGTCTCCAGTTTTGATGGTCAAACTATCTGCCTCCGAGCAGAGAGGATGCCCAGACGAGAAGGTAGGAGTCTCGTCTTGGGAAACAGCTACCTAACCTAGTCTAATACAGGGTCTACGGGGAACTTTTGGTCGAGCTTACGTGCTCAGATACCCCATATTAATTTCGGCTTTGTCCAACATCTGACCGCGTGGGGCGGTTGGTAGATATCCTGCAGTTGGAGATTCATTATGGAATTCACTTGAATCACTTCTAGCAGTTGATCTTCTACGCGCCGCTGGCGAATCTTATATGTGTTGTTCGTCTCCTAAGTATTATCGTTAATTACCAACCATCGTTTGATTATTCTATTCAATAACCTTCCTTAGGTTACGACAATACGATAGGGCGTTTAGAAAGCAACGATAAAGAGTTTTCGTTGATATTGCATTTAGAGTTGGTTAGAACCTACCCTGAACACAGATAGAATATATATATGATATCTGGGTTGGAGCTGCTCAAATCTTTACATTCCAGCATTGACAAAGTGTACACGGCTTTATGGGCGACGAATTGTTTTCAACCCTGCAACTCTCTTCGCGAGGACGAACCGTTGCAAGCCTATCGCTATTTCAATGAAAAAAGGTTGAGTCGATTCATTAGTTCTACCAGTTCAGGCTTTTACAGCTACGATTTGCCATGGCACGTACACAGAACCAAATTGTTTTCATTCCTTTAATATTCCATTTGTAAGTAAGAAGTTCCCCTCGGAAAACTTCTTGAGAATCACCACTTTGTGGAACAGATTCCTGAGAGGATTTTTCCCGATTAATACAGACTTACGGCCGTAACACGTTGAAACACCTGTTCTAATATGATCAGCGAAGTTAAGGAACGTCGAGCCTAATCAGTACCTAGATGGGTGACCGCTTGGGAATTTCAGGTGCTGTAAACTTGGATGTGAGGCTGGTGTAATGAATAATGGCTCGGAATTGGAAATCGGAGAGCCGAGTTCCAATTCCAGTCTGGTTCTTTAAATTCACTTACGAACAAATACCCTTGAGAAAGGTATAAATCCACCTCTTCTCTCCCTAGCGATGGGTTAAATATTAGGAACAAGTAAAACATTATTATCTCCTAAAAGGTCTTACAATCTAAAAATATTTTCTGCCAAAGGTTGATAACCAATAAAAAACAATCAATCAATCCTTATCACTAGAATCTCAGTTTAACCGTTATCTACCCTACATATCTTCATAACCTGCGCGTATTTCCAAACAACAACCTCACTCAGTAAGTCTCTGCTTTGAGAGGTTCTTGGGCCTTATATTGTGTGAACATTTTTGTATAAAAATTATTCGTTTTATGTGAAAGGATTTGGCCCTGCTTAGTAGGCTTAAACACATTTATTTTAGTTGAGATAGTCATGCTTCGTTCGAATAACGTCCATCTCCTTGCACTTGTTTGTGGCAGTGTATGTCATTTAATGTTTGAAACAATGGTGCATGCTGTCAAGATATGAATGACTACCCCTTTTGCACAAATGGTAAACAAGTAGACATGCATTTGGTGCTCGTTTTCTTTACGCGGCAGATAAGATGATGAAGATGTTGTGATTCGTCGGTAGATAGAGGTTGTCAGGACAAAAACGCATGAATGATAAGAAAAAAAAATAGATTTAGGCGGGAGCTGAAGATATGGACGTCTTGCAGAGTGGAAGCGAACGGAATGGAAATAATGCCAGAGATGTGAAGGGATAAAAAGAACGGCAGCAAAGGCAGAGAAATCGAAGAGAAAAAGAAGATAAGAAAGAAAAATAAATGAAGGGAAACGAAAAGGATAAAAAATGATGGAGAGGAAAGAGTGGGGAATAGAAAGTAAAATGGAAAGAAAATAAGCGATAAGATAAAAAGAAATGCAAAGAGCTTTAAATAAATGACGATTTAAATTAAAAATAAAAGGAAAACATTAATAAATAGAGAGAAAGAAAAAACGGATGATAAAAGGAAAGAGTGGAGGTATTTATAAAATAGACAGAAAAGAAAAGAAATGATGACGAAAGAAACAAAGAAATAATATCGAACAATAATAAAGAACAGACAGAATTACATTCACCTTCTCAAAGCGCCTACCGTAGCACGACAATTAGTTAACATACCACGCTAATTCACTTATTTAGAGAGATCGATCTCCACCAACGGACTTATACTTATCGCCTCTTGCCTATCAATATCTGTATAAAAACGTCTATGAGCGAGTTCGTTTCACAGTTCACTACGATCGAGTTTGATCCCTACGGGATGTACTATGCTAGCAGATTAAGTTCAATGATATATGAGGGTGTGCAGGCGGTGTAGTCGATGACGGTTCGAAATGAGAAATGGGAGGAACGAGAACGAATTCCAGTCGAATTCGTTATATTAACTTGCGTACTAATAACCTTGGGAAAGGTATCAATTCATATCTTCTCATCCAGCTATGGTTTAAAAAGTAAGAGTTGAATCTGGAAAAATCATAGTTATTCTCTAAAAATTATTAATTTACTCAAAAAAGAAAAAGAATTGTCCTTAAAATCCAAAATATGTTTCAGCTTTAAATAACCAACAAAGCGATGATGAGCTATAAAAGAATCACTGATTTATGAGTCTCGATCGACCAGACTAAAGATGTGTGGCTGGTGCAACGTATAGTAGCGCTGAAGGAGAAATCAGAGATCCGAGTTCGAATTCCTTCCAGTTGAGATGATTAGATTCAAAATAACATTGGGAAACTATAACACTTTCATTTACCACAAATTATTGGTTAAATAGTAGGAATTGCATCTAGAATAACCTTTGTTATCCCCAAAGAATTGTTAATGAGATATTTATTCGCAAAAAATAATTATTCTTATAACCGAAGAATATCTTTCGACTTAAAATAACCGAAAAAAGTTTGATAAAACAAAAAATCAAATTTAATCACACTATTTACATTATTCGGACTATTGTCCTCATCTTTGTCGCCATTTTTATTACAACATTTCGGCCGTTGTACGCTCCCGCCTTCATAAGGTGATTGGAATGTCGAACTGAACCTTTTATTTCGCTCACTGGGGTAGACCGTTCTAGATCCACGTGCCATGTTTAATGTATGTCAGTTATCAGTTATTTTCTTTAATTCCCCTCTCCAAGTTCTCCACAGCCTTAACCGTGTATTGAACTCACACGCTTTGTGTCCTTGAAGTCACATGGCACAGTGGATAAAGGCGTTAGTTAGATCCAGTGACAGGAAAGGGGAATTAACAGAAGATAACTGTCAACTGACATCCATTAAACATGGCACGTGGAACTAGAACAGTCTACCCCAGTGAGCGAAATAAATTCAGTTCAGTTCGACATTCAAACTACCTGATGTAGGCCGGAGCGTATTACGGCCGAAACGTTGTAATAAATATGGCTACAAAGATGAGGATAATAGTCCGAATAATGTAGATAGTGTACATGATACCTCATCTCTGAAATATAGATAAATTTAATTAATTTAAATTCGCATCGAGTGATCTATGTTTACGACATTATCACTGAAGTGTAACACTATATGTATGATTTTGGTCTCAGTCCCAATAGCAATGACTGCAAGACACTTTCCATCTCAATTTTATCAAATTGCAACGTTCGCTTTCCCGCTCTTGGATTTCAACCCCAACTCTTAGTTTGTGAACTTTTTGCCATATTACTGTTGCTTTGTCTTATTACTGTTAATTTGCCTTGCATATATTATTTGCTTGCTTTATATTATTTTTTTTCTTTTCTTGTTCTTGTTATTGCAAACTTTGTCAATCCTGTTTGTTGGAAAGTTCTGTTACTTATTTTGCATTTAACCATGGCTTCTTACTCCACATATGAATTAAAGAACGGTAATTCTAAGGATTATTGTTAAAAATACAAAAATGTCTTAACTTGTTGGAATGAAAAGATCTACTAACAACCCCAGGGACTGTTGGATATATATCGTGTCACTGAAATGTTATATATAAATAACTGATAGCTGATACCATTGGATATCACAGCATTATCATAGCATTAACATATCATTATCATTGTTTATCATAGCAATATCGTGTTACTGAAATGTTATATATAAATAACTGATACCATTGATTACAAAAGATTCGCCGACGTGTGAAAATCCTCACCAAAAGAAGACTAAACGAATAAGTAGTAGAGAGTTGTAGGAGGAAACAGTCTTGAGTGATTTGATAGCGTCAACAGATGGTTGCAATTAAGTATCACCTTGCGGTGAGGTTTTAAGTCCAACTTTAAAAAAATGAAGAAAACGATTTCATTTATCAAATAAATGCAAAGAGTTTGAATGACGTTTGATTCGACTGTAAATTGTTGGACATAATTAAAGATTCATTACTCAGGGAGAAGGCTTGGAATTTCCTTAAAAAAGAATTTCTTCTTCAAACCTTTTAGATCAAATTTTGCCTCTTTTCGAACTTGCGTGTATGTATATTTTAGCAACAAGATAGATAGATAGATAAAGAAAGAGAGAGAGAGAGAGAGAGAGAGAGAGAGAGAAGTCTCAAAATCACTTGAGACTTGGAATTGACAATCATACAGTTATCACTCCTTTGTCAACACTGTCTATATGTATAAGTTGTTCTATCTCCGTATATATATATATATATATATATATATATATATATATATATATGTATGTGTGTGTGTGTGTGTGTGTGTGTGTCTGTGTGTGAAAATATATAAATTATATGAAAGAACTCGTTAGGTAAACAATTCAAAGATCCGAAGTTCTTTAGTATTTTTGTTTTTATTTTAAAAAAAAAACAGTGCTCGATACAAAAGTAGAGCCTAAATATAATTATTTATTTAAAAATATGATTCCTTCACTACATATATGTAGCGAAGGAATCATATTTTAAATAAATAATTATATATATATATATATATATATATATATATATATATATATATATATATATATAATAAAGAAACAATTTATACAAAGAGTTAAATAGAAATTGTCATATTCAGGGCGCAATTTTCTCGCACATAGGCAAACACAAAGACGAAATATGTTTACACCGAAAGTTAAAATTGTCGAAATTACTTGGTATGTTTCTTCTGTCTGACAACAATTCGAATATAAGGATCTTATTCTTCAAGGAATTGATAATTAATTAATGTCTCATCAAGTCCTGCTAGCGAAGTGATTTCACCATTAATCATTTTAACATTGTTATTTAAATCTTTGTATAAATTGTTTCGTTATGATATAAGATATAAGCTGAACACTCATATATATGTATATATATATATATATATAGATAATATTAGTGGAAAATATACATACATATGAAAAATATATCTAAAACAATTTCCATACATGTATATTTTCAGAAAAAATTTTTCCAAGAGGAAGGATCCAGGTAGAACTCAATGTCTAGGACAGAGTAAGGATATAATAAAAGGCTTAAACACTAATATTCCATGGTCATAATTTATTCCATTGGAATCGTAAATACGATCCAAATCATCAGACCTACAAATTCAAAATCTATATATATATATATATATATATATATATATATATATATATATATATATATATATATATATATATATATGCGTGTATGTGTATGTGTTATGCATATATACTTTGTGCTTGTAAAACGTTCTTTGCCCGACCCACTTTCCAAAATATAACGACATTCTTCAAACAATATTTTTTGATACCTTCTTAGTTGGGCTGACAACTTTTTCCTACCACTTCATGTGTATGTATATATGCCCAAATTTATTGGTGCCCGAAAAGTAGGGTGTTTTTGAGGAATTATGATTTTTGTAGATGCAAGCACTAATTATTTCTCTATGTGTGTGTCTCCCGTAACAATTTGCGCATGTTTGTTCGTACGCATGTGTCTGTTTACGTTTGTCCGTATACAAG